GACAACTCAGGTACGATAAATCTTTTTTTTTTTTTTTTTTTTTTTTTTGCTTCCCCTTCAGTACATCTCAGCGCTGAGGCCTCCAAAGAGGAGGAACAACAGCTCGGCGGGGGTGTCCATTGACACGGATCTGGAGGAGGACGTTTGGAGCACCAGCAGGATCTACCAGCGTCGAAACTCCCTCTCGTTTCCCAAACCCCTGGGGCCGCGCGACTGCTTCCACAACCGCTCGCTGCAGGACTTCTCCGGCCGCATCAAGGTGAAGATGGAGGACGAGCTGGAGAGCAGGAGGAGGAGAGAGTCCCTGTTCCAAACGGCAGTCAACAGGTCGGAGAAAGACCTGCTGTCCCCGTCCACGTCCACGGACTCCACGAGCAGCGACAACGCCAAGGAGGAGTGGAGGCTGGTAATGAAACCAGATGTTTTTGCACATTTTAAAGTGCCTGCGACATGCGTATCCTTGCAAAGCAAAAAGTAAACAAAAAACAGCTTTATTTAATAAAACTGACATAATGCCCATGATTTTACTCATTTTGTCACATAACTGGCATATTTTCTTTTGATTTTGACTCAGCAAAAGGGAAACAGGAAGTGACATCAAAGGGGAATTCTTTAAGAAAGAAAACGCTGGTCTTTGTTTATTGAAACAATATTATTTGAATTCCTCTCTTTGAAAGTGACTCAAAATGATTTAAAGAAACATCAGGTTCTTCTCTACATTCTGTTGTAGCAATGCTCTGTTCACGTGCAGAAATACCCCTATGACATCATTTCCTGTTGCTTCWTATACAAATATCTCAACAACTGTTCATTCCAGTAGCGTGGAATAGTTTTTGCACTATGTTGTCAATATTAACTTTCCAAAAATGCTTCATATTTATTACAAAAATTTGATGTCACAGGTACTTTAAAGTAAACCAAAAGCATCTTCACAAAGAAGACCCAAAGTAAATGAACACTTTGTTCAGTYGTCTCACAGCAAATGTTTTGGATTCTGTTTGCGGCTCCAGATCCTGGACCTGCTGTGGAGCGACCCCATGAACCAGGATGGCTGCGTACCCAACGAGGTGAGGGGTGGGGGTTGCTACTGGGGTCCCGACGTCACTGAGGAGTTCCTGAACCGACACAACATGCAGCTCATCATCCGTTCCCACGAGTGCAAACAGGAGGGTTACGAGTTCTGCCACAACCGGAAGGTGAGGCCTCTTCAGCACCAAAAGGTTCCCTCTGATCGGCGCCGCTGAACACCGTCTCTCATGTCCTGCAGGTTCTCACTCTGTTCTCGGCCTCCAACTATTAYGATGTTGGAAGTAACCGGGGGGCCTACGTGAAGCTGGGTCCRGACCTCGTGCCTTATGTGATTCAGTACCAGGCCAGCAGCTTGACCAGAGAGCTCACTGCCAGACAAAGGTACAAAYATGACCAGAGATAATCCAGCTCACTTAAATGACACCAAAAGGAATCAACGACCCATCCAGGAGAGTCCCAGAGAACACAGAGCAACATCTAAAGCGCCAACTGCTGAGCACAAAAACCACACAAATAATTAGATTTCATTTTTGYTTAGGTTATTTTTGTCTGATATAAATATTGTTTGATGATCTGAAACATCATGTGTATGGGGCCCCAATTGTAAATGAAATGTTACAAAAAATAAATCACCAACATACTTTTCATTATTTAGTTCACTTTTTCAGTGTTAAAAATTTTCCCACTAACATTTTATTGTTATTTAACTCACTGTTCTTACATTTGGCTAATTTTTTACTACATGTTAAATATAAATGTTAAAAAATATATTAAATCCTAAATCTAAAATGTTTAAATCTAAATGTAAAAATTAAACCTTAAATGCTGAAGTTCACATTAGGTATTTTTATAATTGAATGCAGCCTTTGCTGTTGGCATTTGGCTCGTGTTATGATGTCATCATCCTGAGACAATAGCAACCGCTAGCCCTCGTTTTGGACGGTGTCTGAGCTACACTTCAAACTGCTGGACCACATACCACCCACATTGCTTTTATGAACACATTTTAAATTTAGATTTTAAATATCCTCTTCAGCAGCTTTATCAGCTGCTAGTGGTGGCTAGCAGCGGCCGTTGGTGTTTGTTGCAGGATGATGACATCATAACACATCATAATCATCCTGGTTATCTGACGCTRACTTCTGCTAACGCTTCAAACACTGATAAAGATAGTATTTAAAATCTAAATTTAAAATGTGTTCATCAAAAACAATATGGGTGGTACCTGTGGTYCAGCAGTTTGAAGTGAAGCTCGAACTGCATCTGCAAGTTTGATGTCTTGTAGGGAAGCTTTAGCTGCATTGGAGCGCTAGCGGTTGCTAATGTCTCAGGATGATGATGTCATAACATGAGCCGAGCACCAACAGCAAAGGCTGCWTTCCATTCTAAAATACCTAAATGTGAACTTCAACACTTGAGGTTTAACTTTTACATTTAGTTTTAAACATTTAGGTTTAGGATTTGATATTTAAGTATATTTTTAAATATTTATATTTAAAATTTAGTAAAAATTAGCTAAATGTAAGAACAGTTGAGTTAAATAGTGAAAAATATGTTAGTGAAATTTTTTAACATTTCATTTTACACTTGGCACACCATACAGCAGTGTTGAGTTGTCAGCTCTGTTGTGTTTGCAGTATTGGGCGAACTGAGCGCTCCGCCCTGAAAGTCCTGCGGGAGCAGCTGTTTGCGCACAAGTCTGACCTCATCTGTGCCTTCAAAAAGTTTGACCCCGAGAACACAGGTGAGCTCCAAGTCGGGTTYCGTATAAAACTATTCAGTCCTCAGAAGATTAGGCGCTGGTCTGGTGGCAGATTTCAGAATACAGCGTCCTGTACGGTGAAATCTAACCTCAAAGCCTTTGTGTTTATTGTTCGGCTTTATAATGCCCATTCAGGACCAAAGTTTCACAGAAACTTCAGCTGAAACAAGTTCAGTGATTTAAACAGCCACTTTGGAAAATATACTTTAGTTTAAACATTTGCTTGAGAAACAAACGCCACAATGAAAATAATCGTTTCTCAGAATCTTTTTAAAATGTTCCTAATTACAGGAAAGGACTATTCACCATGTGGTAGTAAATACTTTGCTAAAATTTCAAAATAAAGGTTTTCCTGTGACATAAACTTTTAATTTTTGTCAGGTCTGGTGTCTATGAACGATTGGGCCTCGGCGGTGGAGCGTGTGATGCACCTGAATCTGCCCTGGAGGACTCTCTTCAGTCAGTTGGTCTCCTCCAAGTCCAACGACGGCAGCATCGATTACCAAGACTGGTTCAACGAGCTCGCCATCAAGGGGCCCAACGCAGACGTAAGTTGAAAACAGAGCGAGTCGATCTTCTTTGCTAGCCGGTACAAAGGTTTTAAGTCCTCCATGTAAACCAGTGGACGACCACCCTAAACCTCTTGGTCCACAACCTTAGTGTAAATACAACAGAWGAAGGTGTTTAGTCTGGAGAAAATGTATGCTAAAAGATAATTTGACTCCTTAGAAGCAAAATATAAAGAAATCACAGTTGATTCAACACCAAACAAATGACGTAAACAAGTAAACAACAAACAAGTCGTGACGTTTGTCTTTCTGCAGCACATTGAGCAGAGTCTGCTGGAAACTTTGTACCGCCATCGCGCCACTCTGGAGACCATCTTCAGGATCGTAGACACCGACAACTCAGGTACGATAAATCTTTTTTTTTTTTTTAGAAACCAAGTTTTCCAATGAAAATAGTTAATATAATTCATTTGAAACAGAATACCAGGTGTTTGTGTCATACCTGCCAACATTTACTGAAASCAACAATCTGTTCATGTTAACCAGCAGCTGTGGAGTGAAGCAGTTCYAGGGGGGTGGTTCCAGGAGCATACTCCTTGAAAACTYTGCATTTTCCAGCCATTTGAAGAAMATTTWACTAACCTGWACTTTATTTTATCATAACTGAAACTYTCATTATCCATATTTWGTTTATTTATTTACACTTTGAGCACCAGTAGTTAATCTTGACTGCRTCATATGATACTTTCATCACGAAATATCCTCAGCACGTTGCTTTCATAAACCTGAGTAAMCAGTGATTATTCCACAAACTAAATCAACTGTACTCTGATAAATTTATATATAAAAAATCCATCCCCCTAAATGGATGGTGCCCGTAGTGTTTGCCTATACTGCCTGCCGATTTGCTCACATCCTTCTCTTGATTCGTAATRAAGCTCATTGTGTTCTGTAATGTTTCTTGAGTGATTCAGGTTGTAGCTTTAAATCTGGAATGTTATTTTGGCTCGCTGGAGGTTGGAAGTGTCAGGGATCTGTTATGTTTAGGTAACGTCTCTCGGGCTTTCGTTAAYCCTCCTGCAGCGCGTGAAGGAGGTCACGGCCTCCTGAATCCTGATGAAGATTAACCCACTGATCTACACCTCCCTCCCCATCTTCAGATCCACWACAAACAAACAAACCTACTTTAATCTTCAGCAGAGTTCCTAAGTGTTTTTAATATCATCAAACCCCCTTTTTTTTAACCTCCAAACCTCCACCTCTTCTACTCCTTCTCCAGGCTTGATTACGGTGGAGGACTTCCGGAAGACGTGGAAGCTCCTGAGCGTCTACCTAAAGATGGAGATCACGGACGAGGACATCTCCAACCTGGCCGTCACCATCGACAGCAACCACGACGGCAGCATCGACATCGACGAGTTCATGGAGGCCTTCCGGCTGACGGACAAGAAGAGCCGCCTGGAGCGGGGGCGCAGCATGTTCATGGTCACCACGACCGACCTGACCAAGCTGGAGGGCGAGCTCAACGTCTGAGCGGGCGGCTGAGGCAAGTGGAGGTGGAGCTGCAGCTGATGACGCACGTGAAGACGCAGGACGCTGCTGAGAAACAGCTGGGCGGATCAGGAGGGATTAGCTGGAGGTCAAAGGTCACGGTGTTTGACAGTGACGCCTCACAGTCGAGTTGTTGATGGAGGAAGAGCGAGGACAACTACAACCTGTTTCTTTTACTCTTTAAAACTAAGAACATTTTATACTAATTGTATTTTTACCAAGATAAAACATTTTGTGATGATATGACTGGCTTTTTATAGATAAAGAAACACCTGCATCCTGACTCAAACTGATCAACAATTTAATTTATGCACAAACAAAATAATCAAAAGTACATCGTGGATGGAATTACACAGATGGTACTTCATCAAATACACAGAGGACTAAAGAAAATGTGTAAAATAAATCAAAAATAAGCTAAATTTATGTTAACTGAATGCGTCATGATTGTTAAATTAACAATACTTTAATAAAGTGTTGATCCCAGTCAGGATTTATTTTTGATTAAATTATTTTTTGAAGGACAATATTCAAATAAAATGAATGTTTTATAACAAATAAACGTAGATTCTATACAAATAATATCGATTAGAAATATTCCAAATACGTTATATTTGACATAAACTCATAAAGGACTTGAAAACTACCAACAAACAAAATATTTTTATTGAAAAACAAGTTATACATATGATTTTACCCTTTTATGAAATAAATGTTTAATTCTAATGTTTTTTATTAAATAAAAAGTCCAACAAGCTGACCTAAAAGTCCGATCTGACAAATCAAATTTAGCTTAATATTTAATTATTATAGATTTCATAATTAGGGAAACAAAATGTAAATGTAGGTAAAAGATTCTTACATCCAACTAGAAAATCAACCAAGAAAATATATGAACATTTACCAACAAAATGTCCTAAAACACAMAAAAAAAAAACACAAAAAAGCCAAAACCTCAAAGTTTTTTGTAAACAAATCAGTCAAATGAACGTTTTTATTCTCATCCTTTAACTGTTCATCTAAATGTTTAAGCCTTAAATCATTTACATTCTCAGCTTTAAAGGCACAAAAATACAATTTAGATAGAAAGCTTTTTTTATATCCCTCCAACTTTTCAACACATCCACAATCATGTATTTTCAATAAATCACTGTTTTATTAACTAAATATTCTTATTATGCTTGTTTTAATCACAGAACAAACAGTTGCTTCATTGATCAGATTAGCGTTGTAATTAGAAAAGTTATAAATCAACAGAACAGTGAGATTTACATCTCAAATATGCTCAGTGAGAGATTCTTTTAATATGACCCATACTTATAAACCARGTATTATTAATTGTTTTATAGATAATTTTGCTTCAGAGTGGGACATTTGTACAAATTTTGCTTGTTATAAACACTTTACAAAATATTATTTGATAAAGTTGTCCAGTACACTAATTAACCATGATTGCAGGTCTGTGCAAAAGTCTTGGGRCACTGATTCTGGGAAGTTTCCTCCATCTGTTCGTTTACTTTACCCGTTTACCTGGGTGAGAGACGAGGGACACCCTGGACAAGGTCTCCGGTCCATCTCAGGGACACATGGAGACAAATTAAACCATGAGAGGCAGCAGTTCTCACCACTTCCCAGCTGTGCAGTTCTGAAACTTAATCATCAGTTTGTTTGTGCACTTTCTCTGTTTAGCCATGTCATCCTTTGAAAATGTTCAGGTACAAGGRCTGCCCTAAAGAGGTCTAACCCTCAGAACAATAAACTGTCTTTATGTGAAAAGAGGGCTGGTTGAAGACTTTTGCACGGTACTGTAAGCGTTTCTGGTGCCTTAGCAGTACGAGTATTTATAGTGAAGTCAAAGCAGTGATAAACATGAACTTTACTCTGATTTAAAAAAAGGAGAAAAAAAGATAAAATGCTTATGTTTCTAAAGAGTTTAGCTCAACAAGAAAGTCGACTCAGAAGGAAACCTGGGAACATTTTTGTTTTTTATTACTCGCTAAAGGGAGTTGTTTTTTTGTTCAGTGTAGTCAAAACTAGAATTATTTGTGTTTCTTAGTGTTTATTAACTGTAAAATGTCTAGTCTTCAGCTGGTTATTTGTTGTATTTTCTGCATTTTTCCTCAGTTAGTAACTCAGGACATTTATAAATCAGAGTTATGGTAATGCCTTATTCTATCACTATGTAACGATATAAATTATTTTAACAGTGTTCCTCAGAAACGCACACTTTGACAAACAATAAAACAATATTTATTTTTTCCTCTGTTTCTGTTAGTTTTTTTATCAAAGTATTTTTTTTATTATTTTTTAACATAATATACAACAAAAAACAAACAACAAACTAACAAAAACACTGTTTCTGTTAGTTTTACCCCTCCTACCCCTACCTATACCGGATCTGCTAAAACAACAAAAATCGATCTTGTATTAATACA